TTCGAAGAACCGCTCTGCAGTTCAATGCCATCAGCAAATCCCAGCTGGATCGGTGGGTGGCGTGTAGGAAACGGAAGATTATAGGTAATTCAACCCACTGAAAATTTGTAAGTAGTTTATTATTTTAGATAGGAAAATATACGACCCCACGATATAATCTCACTGATTGGAGGTATAGCCCCATGTCGAAAATATAGCACCGGGACGCTGATAATATAGGAAGAATTTTAAAACCAGTCTTATCATTAGGGCAGATGGACGCGTTAATCAATGTAGTTGATGGAAGGCGTTAAGAAAACGCATGTATTACTGCGACGAGTGGCGTAAAGTGCAAAGAGAGCACAAACGGACGAAGAAAACGCAATCAAATTATCTAATGTTGCCAAGTTAAGAAGATCAGATTGGATAAGATGGCAGTCGACCGATAAACTTAGCCCAAACCCTACATTTAATCCATTACCTTTACTGTACGCTTAACCGAAATAGTAAACTTGAAATACAGTGCCTACGCAGATAAAAGAAGTAGGCATGTTAGCGTTATAAAATCACCAATCACCAATAACTGAGGGACAGACAAATACTACTCAGGTAGCTCGTCCGAGAAGCTTGATCCTTTATTTGATTGCGCGCAGTTGTAGATGTTCCTGAAAATCAAGTCTTAGCATGTCCAGTTACTGCTGATTTTGTGAGAAACCAAATTGCGGTGGATTTTAGCAGCCTAGTTATCTTTGCGACGCGAAGCGTTCTGAGGCTGATAGATAACGATAGGGGATGCGAACAGAACGGATGGTTTATAAGTGACCCGATACCTAGTCGTCAGTTCAACTCGTCCCCCCCCTCCCCCGTCGTCAGAGAACAGAGCCCTATTGCGCTTAAAAAATTAAGATTTTGTACGGCCACCCCAGTAAACTATGATTGCGCAAGTTCTCAATTTTGACGATGATACAATGCGACAGAGGTGAGGAGTTCAAAGACTATTTGTGTCAGGAGCAAAACTAAGATAAATTTAAACCACATTTACAGTCACCTAAAAATAAGCATGCATTACTATTGCTTCTGAGGAGAGTAGACAATCTACTGAGTTACACAACGGTACATTCTGTACAGATGTGCCGGCAGATGTTAACGAGACTGTCTAGGCAGGTGACGCTTACTCGTGTTCCGGAATCCGCAGATATTGAGTCTCGCCGGTGCTGGTGCGCCGTTCGAATGCCATTTTCCGCATGATTTCCGAGTAGTCCTGGATGCGCCGCTCCTTATTGGCAATTCCAGCCGCGAGGTGACAATTTACAAAACACATTGAGGAGTTGTAGACTGTCAGACGAAGACCAACGGCCCCTTTGTTGCCCTTTAAAAATGCAAACAAAAAAGGAAGGGGTGTAAGCAGACCAGATGGAAGGGCATAGTTGTTTAATTCGCGAATGTAATAAATTAAATAAATTGTCATTTGAAACTGGCGCTAATTAAATTTCGACTACCGGTTTCCATTCTGTCCACACTATGAAGTGGCGTGCACTGACAAGGCATCCTTCGCACATGGAATTGGTAGAGGGCTTTGTCGGATTGCAGAATATGAGCTCGGCAGCAAAGTATGTTCTTCGATGACTTGACTTGACTTGTTACGGCTACGATCATGACTGATCTAGCTGGCCTCAATTATGTCCCGTGTGGTGCTTCTCC